CGTCAAAGTGCCACTTAGTACGGGTCAGCATTATTCATCCATCACCGCCGTGGGAGACGTCGGGTCACGTAGCGAAGGAGAAAAACGATTCGCCCATGTTTTTGCAGACGTTCCACTCGACGGCTGCAGCGTTCTAATATTCGCCATGACTCATCAGTCGATCGAACTGCCCACCCGCCAGTTTTATGCTCCTGATTGCAACGAATATATAAAGGAAATCTGCTTCTCTTAGTCCTAATCCTCCAGCATGTCCTCCGATTCTTCATCCTCCTCATCCTCACCAGAGCCAGATAAGAAGAAAAAGGACAAGGAGAAGAACAAGAAGAAGGAGAAGGATAAGAAGCGGAAGGAGTCATCCTCTTCCTCGTCGTCGTCATCGCCACCACCTTCGCCTCCTAGACGAGAAAAGGAAAGGAAGAGTTACAAGAAGAAGGACAGACAGCGTGATCTCTCCATTTCGTCCTGCTCCACCTGTCGGACACCGTCGCCACGCAGAAGGAGAGAACCAAGCAGCGATGAAAGTCCTTCACGTTATGAGCACAGGTACTCGAAGCGGAAACCCAAGTCTGAAAAACCCAAATGGAAAATTCCGCTGCCAAAAGTTTTCGGAGTCACTTTGACATTCGGGGATCCATCAAGTTCAAATAACTCGAGAGAGGACAGAAGAGAAGAAGAGCCTGAAAGGCATCACCATCATCACCACCATCACCACCACCATCACCACGGGAGTAGATATTGATTCCCTGATTATTTCGCTATGGGTAATTTCTATTTTCAATTTTTTTTCGTAGCTCAATTTAAGTGATTGATTTTACAAATTTTTTGTGTTCATCGTGCTATTGCTGCCATTCTTTGCTCTTCATCACGTTTAAAGCTCCTTTTTTCTCTTTTGTCTTCATAACTTTCCTTCTTCTAAAATCATACTCTTTCAACAGTCGCAGATTACCGATGGTTGGATATTTGCGAACAGATTGACTATCCTCGCTGGCTCGATTTCAAATTGAACTTCATATTGATCGTTGATGACACTGAATCCTCTGTATTCCCCTACTCGGCGTATTTGTTTTTATTTTTCGTAAGGCCACAGATAAATTGATGAATTTCATGGCTGCACGTCATTCGATCATTGATTAAAATTGAAATTTGATTAATTGTGCATAATTAGATATTAGATTCATCGCATATTTTGCATGGCCGTCTATTCACAAACTATTTGCAACTGTTTTCGTCTACTTTGACCGATCGCCAAACGTTGTCGCAAAAAATTTACTAGATGTAAAGGAATCCGTGAACAAGCAGCTAGAGGTTCAAAATGCAATCAAAATTGGAATTCAATTTGCTGACAGTTATTTTTATATTATATCGCTACAGGTCATTGCTCATTGTCGAAAAAACTAGGTCAAGCATGGTCTTCAAAGAAGAATGGCTAATCGTGTATGGCAAAAAAAACTTTTTCAAACGCTTTATTAAGACTTATTCTTATATCTATCCCCGAGTCATTTGTAATTTGATATGTGTAATGCACATAATGCGCCTTACTTGACGAATTTGCAAGATTAGGACCTGCTCATTTCCAATGATTTCTCCTTGTTCCCTTATCTCTTTTAATTTGATGTTATGTATTAGTTAGCACAACACGTATCCACAGTTTGTTACGCTAAAAAAAGGTCTCAGTGAGGAGTCACTAGTAAGGTTGCCATCGGTTGCCGTGCATAGTGTGCATACTCACATATTTAGGTACAAACGACTCGAGAATATCTATCTACTTGTATCTACGAAGTTTATGGAATGAATTTTCGAAACATACTCTCATAGTTTTTCTACGCGGCGGCATGGCTCAATGGCAGCGACTACAATGCTCAGACAACTATATCTATGTTGTATGAGTGTACCCTAAAAGAAATCGAACTGCGTTGGTTCGGTCCTCTAATGTTGTTTCCAAAAGAAGAAAATGAACCTGAAAGACCTTTGAATCCTTTTGCGCTCCTCTCCCTTTTTGCGCACCGCCCATCCACGGACGACTTTCTGAAGCGTTCTGACGTGGCAAGCACAGTCGAGGCACTCACTGTGCAACTATATTCCCGTTGCAAACGGCGACATTCGCTGTTGCATGCGAACGGTGGAACGCTCGTCCATTCCCGTCAAATCAAGGTTCCAGAAAAGGAGTTTTTTGGAGTTTCCGCGTAATTTGGACCCCATATTCAGAATCAGGACCTTGAAAAGGCCTAAAAACGATAAAAACGTTGAAGACAAAAATCAGGGTGGACGCTGCCTTTAACAGCTTCAACACTAAAAGAAGACCGTTGACTGAAAAGTCGTCAACACTATCTCCGAGTTAAAGTAGTTATGAACGTATTCAAAAGTCCACCTTATAAGCAGAATACAAATTCGCTGTGACTGACTAGTTTTAAAGCCTAAGCTACACTCCTAGATCAGTCACGCTTAATTGCTTGATTGATTTGATGAGTCATAGCTCAACATCAAAACTAAAGAGAAAGAAAGGGATAAATTGACGAGACTGGTTCTATCGATTTTTCGATGCCTGCAAATTCTCAAACGTTCTCCAAAAAAGAGCCTATGTACACGTTTGCTCATTCGTTACCTCCTCGATCGAGCAAGAAACTGCAGAGCAGACTAGGGACGTCTAGTCTGCGCATATGTTCTTTCTGCGGAACGCACTCGTCCCTGTGTAAAGTTCGACTGCAGCAAAGTGTGGATTATATTCGTCTCTATAATCTTCAATCTGTCTAGTCTCTGCCCTCTGTTGCATAACCTTGCGAAGTTCCTCTACAAATTTACGTCATGACTTCATCGTCCTCATCGTCATCTTCCTCTGCACCACCATCGGATGAAGAAAAAGAGGAGAAGAGCGAGCAGCAAAAAGAAGAGGATACAAAGAAGGACGAGGAGGAAGAGAAGAAGGGCAAGGACAAGAAAAAGGAGAAGAAGAAAAAACGATCGTCGTCCTCATCTTCGTCATCATCAGATGATGAGAAGAAGAAAGAAAAGAAGGAGAGAAAGAAGAAGGAGAAGGAAGAGAGGAAGAAGGAAAAAGAAAAGAGAAAGAAGGAGAAGGAAGAGAGGAAGAAGGAGAAGGAAAAGGAAAAGGAGAAGAGGAAGAAAGAGAAGGAAAAGGAGAAGAAGAAGAAGGAAAAGGAAAAAGAGAAGGAGGACAAGGAAAAGGATAAGGATAAAGACAAAGACAAGGATAAGGACAAGGACAAAGACAAGGACAAGGATGAAGACAAAGACAAGGACCAAGAAAAGGACAAGGAGAAGAACAAGGATAAGGATAAAGAAAAAGGCGACAGCGGTGAGGAAATCAAACTTGATGAATGAGGGAAGAATTGTCATAAATTACTTTGTCGCTAGTAATTTTGTTGTTTTGTAGGTAAGGTTTTACTATCGCATATGATTCCACTCGTTTTATCAGTAAACATCATTCTCTCAGCTCTTTCTTTCGTACATTCAAGAAAGACATGTTTCTTCCCAATCTGTTTAAATTTCATTGAGCGATAAAAATTTGTTTGGTTTTAAAATCTGAAAATGCACTCAGCTGGGGCATCTGAGAAAATGTTTTTGACCCTTTCTTTGAAGAGGAAAAGTATTTGAGAGGTCGATAAGTTTGAGTTTATCGCTCATTCTGTCTCTTATAAGTTCATGCGCTCATTTACTTTTTTCCAATTTTCCTCTTTGTCACTCAAAAAGGTTACAGAAAACATTTTTACAAGAGTTGAGGAATGACAATTTTTTTCTATCAACATGATGCAACTCGCCATCTCAAAATTGAATAATTTCAGAGGTAATTCAGAGGTCTCTGGCAACCAATTAGAAACGAATGTTAAGCAATCTTTCAACAAAGAATCGTTTGAACAGAAATGCAAGAGACAGTGTGACGGAATTTGTGGATATGTTTGCTCAGCTTCAAACAAAAAACTTTTCGAGATATTGACGAAGTAAAGTCAAACGACCATTTTTCTGGCTATCGCTTGTCGGAATGTGCTCAAACTTTAAACATCAGTATGGGCGCAACTAATTAGGGATGAAAAATGAGGATCAACGATGACGACCCTGACGAGTTTAAAAATCAACAATAATGTCCATTATGTAACATGTTAATAAGAATTTATTGAAAAATTAAGTCAGCATAGTCCTAAAAACTTTTGACCTTAGGTGCAAAACTCGCAGTTGGAGTGCGTGCAAGCTTCTAGAAAGTGAAACAATGCAAAATTGACGTGAGTAAAATCATTTCCATTTTATGTTTTCAGTGAATAGGAACTATAGGACGCGCAGTCACACAAAAATGTGTTGTTGAGTCAGATTTTTAGGTACACATTTATAAAACAAATTTTCAATACTACTACAAAAAATTACCAGAAACTTCATTTCTTATAAAAGACCTCTTGTCTGCTTGATAATAAATAGATTTCATGAGGATTTGGATATAACAGATGCACTAAAGTTACTAGCAGATCAACGCAAAAGAAAATATGCAAAAACAAATGCCATCTGGACACGATAATCAGAAGGTGCTCTCTAATGAGTATTCATTGTGGGTTTATCGAATATTCAGAACCAGGAGTGTTTTTTGAATGATTATGAAATATTGCATTGAACTATTACTTCGAGTATTTTTTCAGTCTGCTCAATATTAGGTGGACGGAGCACTCTGTAGAATCAATAAATAAAAAAGTCTCCAACAGGTAGTATGATATCAAACGTCAAACAACTGACGATTTTTTCAAAAAATATTTGAGCTAAGAACAATTACCGACAACTATGCTAAGATGTGATCCGAAAGGATCGAAAAAGTGGAAAACCAAGATTTGAACGAAACGACAGGACTATAAAAAGTTCCAAATGCAGATTTCCTACTGTTGCGCAACATTTCTTAATTTTGCGCCACTTGCCACGCCTTTGGTCTAACTGTAAGCTGTGGAAGGGAATATCGAAACCAGCAAATCTATTTCCTTTGAATAGTTTATGAGGAATTTCGATAGTCATTTGTATTTCATCAGGTGCGATGAGGACGAGAATGAGAAAGTTGGCGAAAAAAGGTGAGAAGCAAAGCGTAGAGCACAAAACACTTTCTTGCGGCCCTCTAGATCCAGATTCCATCGCAGTTTTCGAACTCGCGTTGCTTCTTCTCGCTTTCCAACGCCATTCAAACCCTAGATGGATTTGCACACGAATACGCCAGATTACTGCAACTGTAGCAGATGTAAACTTGAGCCGTCACTTTTTCAACTTTTTTATTTCTCAGCCACCATGACAATAAACGATACGAGCATTTACATACTGCCGAGTCGGATCGTATAGTCAGTAAAAGAACATTGAATAAAAAGCAGAAATTTTGATGAAGCACAATTACTCCGGCAGCAACGTAGTGAATCTCTATTGTATCAAGCGTATCAACTCACTATTTGCAATAGCTGTATGATTTGCTTTGTCAGTGAATATCAAGCAATGTAAATTGAAGGTAATCGAAATATTGAAGGATTGTGAAAGAGACGGCTGAATTTATTGTAAATTTGTAAATTTGTCTATCATTTATTCAAAAATCTTGAGAAAACTTTTCTCAAAGGTGTGCTAAGAACGTCTACTAGTAATCCTGATTTGACCGGTTAATTTTTTGTTTTGCATTATCCTTTCTTTCGAATATTTTTTTATTTTCCTTTCTTTCAGATATTTGGCAACAGCAGAAAAGAGCCGCATAATCGTTGGAACAAGTTTTCATTATGAAACTAGTCTGCGAAAGCGGACGTATTCGAGGCGCACAGCTATTTCCTCCGGCTCACTTCGCACTCGGTCACGCTTTTCGCCGTAGAGCGCGGCAAGCTCTTTGAACTTAGGTCCAGTAACTATCACATCACAATCACTCTCCACCGATTGAACTGCGCCATCATTGTTGGTGTTTCAGAGTGAGACTTCCGCAGGACTTTGGGGTTTCACAGCACTTTGCGATAACCTTTAATTTCCGTTCCTTCTATTATACATCAAACTTTATTTCGAGATACTAACTTTCTCCTTTTGATTGAGCCATTTTTGCATAATATTCCTTTCGAGATGCTAAGTTGAAACGCAGGCAGCGCGTGTTTTTACCCAAAAAGCAGATTTCGCAGTGTATTGTTCTATGCAAAAGCACCAGTTGAGTATACACAAAGTCTAGCCGTTTTGGCGATTAGCGTAGTGTCTCTGCGTTGACGACAACATTTGCGCGTTAAGTGGCAGTGCGCATCTCCGACAATTTTCAACCTGCAAGTCGAAAGCTCTTCCCAACTCAGAGGTTTTTTCTCTTCGAGTTTCGCAGATGATCTGAGGCTGTTAACAGTAAGGGGCTTGCTAATCTACTCTAAAGAAGCCTTATAGAGATTTTTCTCAATCACAGGAGATATGCAGTAGATTACCTGGGAGAACTCTGACATCATCGTTGCTTAAAACTTGTTGCTGTCACCTCGCAGAAGTTCCCGCTTTGACAATGTATCTCGCGCCCCTGTGAGTTTTTCGCATCCCCAAAAGGATCTCCCCAGTTTTTTGATTATAACTTTTTTTCGCATAGATACCCAGAACTCGCACGCTCTTTATCATCAACGGTCAATCAATTTACCTGGACTCATCACTAGTACATTAGCTATGATGAGAAAACTAAACAATTTGCTAGTATTTTGCAGAAGCAAGAAAGAATCTTATATATAAAGCTGAATGTCTGTCTGTCTGTATGTCTGTATGTCTGTACGTATGTGCGGAATAGAAATTTTTATTTCTAAACCGTTTTGGACCAAACTTGGTACACATATACTTCGGGGCAGGGAGCGTGTCATAGGCTATTTTTCGTTATCGATCGATATCGATTTTATCGATTTTTTGCAAAATTTGAGCTACAGGGCTGGGAGTTGGCACAGGGAGGTAATCGAGCATGCTGATTACAAATATATTATTGACAGGCCGGGGCGGAGCCGGGTATGCCCACTAGTACTATATAAGCGATTTAAATGAAGTAAACGACATTCATTTTCAGCAGATGTTTTCAGGACAGCGTTAAACAGCACATTCATTCGAATAACTACTGAATACAATTTCACCAAGTCATTAGTATCTAAAGATCACAATCAAAGCATAGCATCGCCAAATGATTCGAGAGGAGAAATAAGAAAAAAAACGAGAAGATTTGAGAATGACTGTAGCTTTGTGCACATTGCACCTGAGGCCCGTGATGACCACCCATTTCTTCATCCGATCCGTCTTCTTCATAAGCTTGTCCTCCTCCTCTACCGCCACGATACCGCTTCTCATCGTATTCCATCAAAGACACCTAAACTCCATTATGGTAGCGTTGACAAAAATGGAGGCATATGCGACATAATCAGTATTTGGCAAAAACAGATGAAGATTTCCACTGCCGCAAAAGTAGGTGTGCTTGGTGATCACACATAACAATAAGAACCACATACCTCTTCACAATTCGACGGATATGCAACTTTCCTGACTGGTGGGAATGCGGTTTCAATCATCTAAAAGCATTACATTCATGCAAACAAAACTCAAAATGCTGAACCGAGTCTCAGAACAAACCTTGTACTTCGTGTCGTCTTCCAAAAAGTGATCATTTGGGAAGGCTACATCAAACTTTACATAAAGATTTCCACGAAGATCATGATGTCGCCTTTGCGGCATACCTTCTCCGATTATGCCACGAATACAATCTGAACAAATGAAAACATCGTGTAAAAGATGCTGTTAACAAATGAATTTCTTTCAGAACAATGCCAAACCTGGGGTTATGATGTCTCCTGGCTTATTCTTCAAAATCAAAGTACGGCTGTCAAGATGTTTTAATGGGATTTCATACCCGAATAGAGCTTCGTTCAGCGATATAGTTCTTAAAACATGTTTTAGAAATGAAACAACGATCATAATCCAAAAATGTTACCAAGGAACTCGCCCGAGAACATTTTGATTACTTACTTTTTCGCAATGAGATCATCGCCCTCCCTTTCAAATACGTCATGTGGTTTCACTTGTATAACAATATGTGATACTGGATTAAAACCGAGTATCACAGGATGAAACTAACTTGTTCATACCATTCTCTGGCCATCACTCGCCACCTCCTTCTGCATGGCGGGGATCAAAATCAGAGCAGAACTGACTTAGTTCGGTTTAAGTCCAGAGTTTTTAGACACATGAATTTTGCAGAGAAATGTCAAAAATGAACACGGCTTTCTGAATGATGGAAAAACATTCTTCCTGTTGAGTATTTATTTTAGTCACAAACAGTGTGTTTTTGCTTGTATTATGTCGGAAAGGAAGCCGTAACTCTCGAAAATCATTCCGTATAACAATACATAAGGAACGGGAAAGAAAAAAAGAGATGCAGAATGACCCACCATCCTCGTTTTCGTCGAAATTCTCTGGATCATACGCATCCACATCTATTTTGCGATAACTGGTGTTCTCCATATTCTTCGCCATTTTGTCAGCTCTAAATAAAAAGATGTGCAAGAATGCTGAAAAGCGAGAAACTTGGAACTGTGCGAAGAAGAACACCCCTCATAACCGATATTCAATCAAAAGAATTGCAGAGTTACGCATCATGTGATATTGCGAAACAAGAAGACAACGGCGAAAAAACAAACAAGCTTCAGTGGGACGAGATAGCTTCATTAGGTCGTGGATGTAATGATTGTGATGTGATAGTTGAATAAACCCAAGCTCAAAGAGCTTGCCGCGCTCTACGGCGAAAAGCGTGACCGAGTGCGAAGTGAGCCGGAGGAAATAGCTGTGCGCCTCGAATACGTCGCGAAAGCGTTGTCAAAGTAGCATAATCGATCCACGCAAAAGAAGTCTGCGGATATTTTCTGACTGCTACTAGAGAGAAAATTTTGCTGAAAGTTTTTTCGTTGATTTATCTATTTGTTTAAAAAACTAAAACTACGTGCATTAAGATAATCGAATTTACATGGTGCAGTGCAATTTAATGACAGCTTTAGTATATTCAAATTGACTAGGTGGTCGGAGGAAGTTCATAAAAGATAACGAAAATTCCTAAACATGAACGACTTGAATTTGTTCCTTAATTTTTGTTAATATTAGCATATGAGGGGGGGGGGGGGGAAAGGGAGGGTACTATGACTATATATAGTGGAATTCGCAAGAGTACAGGTTTTCATTCAAAAACATTTCGTTCTACCCCTCGTTTTCTCTTGATTGTTTTGCAATCACTTAGTGAGTCTGTCCAAAAAATTAGCGTGATAGTTAAGACTGATTACCTGTATAGATTTGATGGTATGCTAGGAACAAACAGTGCCGCAAATGACACTCTGGGTTCAGTTTGAGTGCAGTTAATATCTATCAAAAATTTATTCGCTTATCGAGTCCAAAGTGAATTGCCAAGTCGTAAGCAATACGATAAGCCGTTTATGAAAACAGGGTCAGAGTATGAGCTTCAGTTAGATCTTCTTGGGGTTGGGAATCCGGAGACTTGAATGATAAAATAATTGAGAAATTTGAGCAAAAAAACCACAAAGAAGGCTATTCGTGTTATTAATCTCTGAGTGGTTGCGCAACATTGCTAAATGTTGCGCTCTAACCACGCCTTCCAGTCTCAAATATAAAACTGAAAGAGTTCAGGTCAATCCATTTCTAACATGGCTGAGGAGGAAAAGAGTGTCACTCTCAAGCTCTACCGTGGCAGTACACCCCGTCTGTTGATCAACTACACGGATAAGAATGATCTCTACGAGAAATTCATGAAGAAGATCAGTCGGTTCAACATTGGCGACTGCGAACTTTACTCCTACGACTGCGACAATGATGCGATTACTATAAGAAACGCTGACGACTTACTGCTTGCTGTGGAGAATGTCTATAATCCAAAAGTTTTTATACGTCCTAAGGAGAGCAAGCCGCATCTGCTATCGAGTACAGTGGCCGCTACTGATGAGGAAGAATGTCAAGAAAACTCGAAGAAGCCCAAAGCGAGAAAACGATCTCCATCTTCAGCTAATTCTCGTGGACGTTCACGCTCCGAACCTCGCTACAGATCTCCGCCAGAAAATGGTGTTTCTTACTACCCCATGTACTGGAATTGCCTACCTTGGATGGACCCACGTTACCAAAGCATGTCGTTCGGTTTTCAATCACCTGCGTATGGAAGAAATTGCCGAAGCTGTCGTTATGGAAAGTCTAAGGAATATTAGAGATAATTTGAAATATGTAAATAAAATTTCTTTTCCTCGCATTCGTAAATAAAGCTGAACTTTTCGCAACAAACATTATGACTTCTTCTGAGCAATTGGTCACTGTATTTTTGTTGGTTTGTAGAAAAAGGTTGTGTCGATTTATAATCAGGAATGATGTGCTTTACACTAGAATTGAAATCTGATTCTACGTTTACGAGGGATGACCTCGAAAGATTAATCATCATTAACATGCAAAACAAAAATATAATTCGAACCAATTGAGGGTGAGACGACATTCGATACAGATTGAGTAAGCAGCTTATGAATTAGAGCGCCCAGCGAACGTTTTGAATGAATAAAACAAAAATATAATCACAATCCATCTTACGATTAGAACAAACCCTGTTCTGCTTCAGCACCGCACCTCACAGTCTCACATGGAAGGATTCGATGCTGGATTGTATATAGTAGTTCTTCTCAATGGCAACACACGAGAAAATCGGGGTCCCCTTCAAAGCAGTGTCTCACCAAAATTGGGGTAGTGCGGGTCTTCACATATTTTTTCAGAAAGCCCCCTGAGCAGGACCGCCTTAAGTTCGACTCGATTCGGGTCCTTTTGCGATGAGCGATTTGCCCTCAAAGTGGTCGAATGGCGAAGCGCGATCTAGCGCACGGCCGACGCTCCCGGTTTCCTCCTTACGCGCTTCAATACCTCCATTTGGCCTAGCCTTCGCCAAAGTGGTGTTGCTGCCACTGTGGCAAAGGTTAGGCTGAGAAGGCACAACTTGTCCGGGTTGCCTGCACGGGGTTTTCATGCATTTTATGCGATTTTGTACATGCACTGAGTTAGACAGGGACGAAAAAGCTTGCAAAATGCAAAAATCTCGACAACCAAATTTTGGTGAGACGCTGCCTCCAACAGCAAATCATCAAGTTTGCTTGGAAAATGCGACTTCAATATAAATGCGACGAACATGATAAGAAAAGCGTCTGCGTGAAGTGCTCACACTTTACGCGAGCTTGCTCGCGTTATTTTCACGTGGCAACTGCAAGCTGTGTATCTACCTGCAATACATCTTTCCACGTGGGACCTAGATTAGCGCCGAAATACTCGTCCGCGCTATCAAAAGGCCTCACGAAAGTGGGAGGGGTTGGGGGTAGGAAGGTTACGCATTTGCGCCCTGTTTCAAAACATTGCATCTATCTGAGTTCAAAACAGAGAAATCTTGTTTTTCGCAATGTTATAGAAGAATGATTACTCCTTTTGTCCATCCTAATTTCACGAGTAAAAACGCTTTTCCTCAGTCAGTCGAAGGGATACCTCCGAGCGGAAATGGGAGGGCCCCGGGCTCTGCCCAGCGGGGGTTTGCCACTCGTGCTCCGGAGTCATTCACCGTGACGTCACAAGAGGGCGGACGGGACCCCTCCCCGGGGCTCGCAAATCTCTGCTCCGGGGATGCGCCAGATTTGGAGGAGAGCCCGAAGCACCAAAACGCGTGAAAAGAGAGGGCTCCGGAACACGAAGTGGCAGACCCCCTCCCCCTCCCCCATTTGCCCTCCGGAGGCATCCCTTCGACTGCCTGAGTCGCTTCACTGTGCATTGCGAATCTCGCTATTACGATTCACTTACGTGAAGAGCAGCATGGTGGAGAGTCCTTAGATTGCTAAAGCCTTTGGCATTATTGGTCTAATCGAATTTAGGCTCCCGCCAGAGTGCCGAAGTTATGCCAGCGCTACGCCAGGTTTTTCGTTGGGGCGGGGCTAGCTCAGCAGGTAGATGTCCCCAACGAAATACACGTGTATCGATCGAAATGCTGGCGTAGCGCTGGCATAACTTCGGCACTCTGGCGGGAGCCTTAGTTCAAAAAACACCGCGCTACGTACAATTGATTCAACTGGCTGAGCTTCGGCAAAGGAGGGCTTCGTGGCCTAATTAAGGCTAGGTAATGATCAGAGAGCACTCGCGCGCGAGAGACGCAGGTGCGTCGCGGGCGCGAGCGGCCTGCCCTGACGGAGCTAAACCAGTTGAATCAAAGATACTTGTGGGATTGTTGTAGTGAATTGTTTTCTATACCGAACTCTGTGTGTGGTTGTCAATAGCTCAATTCAAATCACTACAACAACAGTTACATTGACCCTGAGAACAAATTTTGAGCCGAAAAAAATGACAGCGCTGGCACCTTTAAGAGCTGTTCAATATCTCAAAAACCACATCTCTTTTATATTACACCTATTTGTTGAATAAATTGTTGAAACGAATAGCAGATTTGAGATATGAAGCGACTCATTGTTGGTGCTTTCTCAAAACCGTCTCGTCGTGATCATCCCGCATATTGCAGTCGCGATTCCATTCCTTTCCGTAACTAACCCAAATTGATATGAATCTACTAATTCGTTTTCAATGGCAGCAGAACTGTGAGTAATTCAAGTGGAATAAGCGGTGGTGCATCGTGCAAAAAATAACATGGAACTAGAAATCAAAAAACTACGTTTATTTCTATGTTTCCATGCCCTCTTAGCTCGCTATTCTCCCCGTTTAAGAAATAACTGAAAGTTACGGTAGCTACTCAGGCCGCTTCCATAAGTGCACTGGGTGACTAATGCGACGTGATATGTTGCACAATGTTATTTAATGTTGCACTAACAACGGTATCTGCTCCCCCTCTTCTTTCCACTAATAAAACCCATCAAAACGTTACTCACTGCTTATTCCCTCTTCCTTCGACATGACTGACGATGAGAAGACTGTCACTATCAAGATCTACTGTGAAGAAGTTCCTACTATGAAGATAACCTACACTGACAAATACGACCTGTTCAGGCAATTCAAGAAAAATTTGAAGAAGTACGACTTTCCAACCGATGAAATCTACTGGTACGACTGGGAGAATGTGCATACTCGCATGCGAACCCCCGATGACGTGTACATTGCTGTGAGGGAAGGTCTCGCCAAGATGTTTGTTCGTGATCCTCAAGCTAGCAAGACTTTCCCGAACTTGAGCTCTGATGGTGAGCAAGAGGATGATAAAGTAAACGAAAGAAAAGAGAGGGAACGCTCGCCTTCACCTATTCATTTACGGGGACGCTCACGTTCGGAACCTCGTCATGGAGCTTATTCTTACGTTAGCTATCCCGAATATGCTCCACCATGGAGTTACGGCTTCTTGATGGATTCTTTGTACCTGCTATCTATTCCCCACTATACTTACCCTACTTACCCCAAAACGGGTCGTAGACGACGCGAGAAGAGATGTCGCCACTGCGAGGAGTAAGATAAATCATAGCTCATATATAAGTATGTTAGGTTTGGCATGGATGAATAAACACGTTCGTAAAATTCCGCAAAAACACTCTGAGTTATATTCATTAGTTGTTGTCAATCGCCTTGTAAAAACCAGAAGTTGATCTCCTACATGTTTGCAAAAAAGTTTGGCTTATATATTGTAATTACATTTTTTTGAATGAAAATTTGGCAGTGCAGATAATGCTCTTCGTAAGCGTTGAAGTAAAAGGTTCATTTGAAACTTATTGTTAGAAATGATAAAGGCGATAAACCTTGCAGTCTCAGAATAACATGAGATTAACTGGTTTACAATTTGAGCTACCAGCATTGATTTTTGCTTCATATTTTTCTTTCTGATGAAAGGTAGTAGTAAGAAAACTAATGGAGGGCTTGAGTCATTGAACGAGGATATGATCTGCAAAACAAAAAATGCAAGAAGAAGGAAAGAAATGGGTACATTTAGCTTGTACAAAGTTGTGCAACGTTGTTCAACATTGCATGAGAACGCCATCCTCAGTGCACATATAAAAAACCGTGCGCGTTATTGACCGGCTGCCTAGCGCCGACTTGCTCAAGGAAGGGGCTTACGAAAAATTGCGTTACATTGATGGAGAAAGAATACTCGATGACCATGGTTTTTTTATATGTGATATATTAGGTCGTTCCATAAGTTCGTAGCGCTTTCATTTTCGTCCTCATATCTTTGAGGAACGGTTGATTTGCGGCAAGATGCGTATGGCCCCGGACAGACTTCACGCGATTTGATCGTCGCGACTGAATCGCGACGAGACAACTGTTACAACATCATTCCATGCCGATCAACTTGCATTTCGGTTGTGATACTTTTCCAGCCCGAAATTTTTGAATGTGAAATGAAAATGAATGGAAATGTCGGCGATTGAGTCGCGACGATCAAATCGCGTGAAGTCTGTCCGGGGCCTATGGCTGTATCAATCAGCATCGGTCACGCGCTGTGACTTAGGCTTTGGCCATAGTTGCCCGTATTGCCGGTGTTGAAAGTGTTGCCGGTGTTGAAAGTGTTGAAAGTGTTACCGGTGTTGAAAGTGTTGAAAGTGTTGCCAGCGTTGAAAGTGTTGAAAGTGTTGCCGGTGTTGAAAATGTTGAACGGAGATCATCAGTCTAGCAGTTTCATTCTTTCTCGAACGATCTCACCGGCTGGTGAATACGTTGGAAATGGAATTGGAGAATGAGAAATGAAACTGAATTGAGATGAGGAATATTTTCGCATGCAAAAGATCCTCAAACAAACTGGATTCGAACTAAAACACATTACTACTCAGACGTCAGCTTTCCCAAATATTGGAGATTGCCTATTCCCAGACAAGCCGTCCACTTTTCAAAAAGTTTGTTTGAGGATCTTTTGCATGCGAAAACATTCCTCATCTCATTTCAGTTTCATTTCTCATTCCCCAATTCCATTTCCAACGTATTCACCAGCCGGTGAGATCGTTCGAGAAAGAATGAAACTGCTAGACTGATGATCTCCATTCAACACTTTCAACACTGGCAACACTTTCAACACTTTCAACACCGGTAATACTTTCAACACCGGCAACACCGGCAACACCGGCAACACGGGCAAAGTATGGCCAAAGCCTTACGAAACCGCACCTTTGCGTGCAATGTGCCATAAACGTAGCAGAGTTCGCAAGCGTCACACCGCACCGTCGCAAGTTGCCGCTTGCGAAGTCGCCTGACCGATGCTGGTTACAGCCTATATATCACTTGAGAGAGCTGATTGTGCTCTTTGAAACATGTCTACTGATTCCGGTGGAAAGCTGATTCATACGGATCTCGTAGCTTCCAAAGATGGAAATATTGAAAAGCAAAAAGGAGCAATCTCGACATTTGCGCATTTGTATGGTGTAGGTGTAGGCGCACCTAGATCATACATTTGTATGGTGTAGGTGCGCACCACATTTGCGCACCATATACCCGCTTCCTCCGCATACAAATGCTTATAATCAAAGAGCACTTTCGGTGCAAGAGCAGGGGGCATGAGGCAGACCATGAGACTTTACACCAAATATGGATTTGTTCATGCTCTAAACAAACTTAATCCATCTTATTCTACTTTTCGGGAGCTGTACTTGAACTGATCGACGGAAGTTTGTTTTTTTCTGCCCGTTTCTTAGTTCTTTACTTGATTACTCCTCATGTAGAGAATTTTGATTGAACAAATAATACATCGATAGTAATGAGGAATGAATGTAACCCACCCCCTCAATAGAACGCCATTAGAATATAAGCATTTATTTGAGATATTCCAGTCTGATATGCCTCATAGTAATTGAAGTGAACACAGTTAGCACATGCGTTACAAGCTGCCTGCTAGTTTATCTAAAGCAGGTGCTTCAGTGGTTAACACGTTGACGACGAGTCGTTTTGAGGTCTGTCCCTGTGGACGAGACGTTTCCATGCATCCCTACGCTTGGCCGCATGTATGTATGCATGCATCCATGCACGAAATGTAAAATGTGCAAGCCCCACCCCCATGTGGCAAGCTCCGCCCACTCGGCCAAAAATGTCGGAAATTGCCCAAATTTCAAGAATTCATGCGATTTCCGCCACCTTGAAAATGGGCGGAGCTTGCCACTCAGGGGGCGGAGTTTGCGTGACGGTGGGCGGGGCCTAGACATAGGTTGTTTGAGGTGTTTCCGTTCATCTACGGCCTCATCCATGCTTTTTATGAACAAAACGGGTCCCTGTGAGAGGCATGGGAGTGGACGGAGTCTGCTAAAAGGGGCGGGGCTGATGAGGTACATCTGAGCCTATGTTGATTATATGAACAAAAACTGAGAGGATTGGGCAGATAGTATTGAAATTAAGGCCGCCGCGCACCATTGCGCGGCGTCGTCCACAGGGAGATTGCCTGCCGCGCACCATTGCGCGGCACTGTCGTCAACGTGTTAATGAACATGGAAAACGTACCATACGCTGCTTTCACAAGTTCCTTTCACCATCGTTACTTCGTAAAATTATTCTGTCCGGAATGCAGACGCAACACTCCTACACATCCATCATCACTATTTGTAAAACACAGACGCACTTTATCAATACATTTGTTTCAAGCTTCTGTAGTCTTCACGCAGTGATCATTGCTGCTGAGAGTTCCGGTTTTTCTCGATAGTTTGTAAGAGTCCTTCTGTGGCAGTGATTTCCTCGTCTGGGCCCTTCTGAATCATCAGGTTATCGTACGAACTCAATATCAGGAAGTGAATATGAGGAAGTGACCAACGTTTGAAATTTCACCGAGATCGTCCAATGTAGTTTCTATCCTTTGAGTGTCAAAATGACGTCAAATTATCGAGTCTTTCAATTTGTTTGTAAACAATTAGCAGATCATGTGTCCACGCGATGCCACGACTGCAGGTTTAATGCTGTAAATAATCATACTGGTGATAATGTATTGCATTTATACTTATTTTATCAGAGTAGTTTCACTCAATATGCTAAAAAAGTGTTGGAGCTTCATAACCTTGAAGCAAGACTGATGAATGTCCATGGTTGCAATCAAGTCATTGAGCGAAAAGATTGCTTGCAAACTTTGTAATATCGACTTTGAAGTGGAGTTCGTGAGAATTGATGGTATATACGTCCGCTCTCTGTCAGTAGAAAGAGCGGTAAGATGTAAGATATCGAACAAAATGCGCTCCTTCAAACATTCTCTATGCTGATGCAAGGTCCAGTTTACAAACGAACACAAGATGCTGTGCCCCCCGCTGCTAAAAGATACATTCTCGAGTGCATTAGAAAACATGTGTTGGTCGGCCATGACTAATTGCCGTTTAGAGTTTACCATCCTTCTGAATCCTTGATCATACAGGACTATCTACGCTTCAGGGCAATCTTCATCATATCAAAATGTTAAGTAGCCACAGTAATTATGGGAAACGAGAGTAGGTGTGCGCAAGAAAGCCCATTTCATGCATCTGTTAACGTGACTGTGGTGCCATTAAGGAAAGGACCAGGATGACGGTATCATTACAGCTAGTCCCTGCGGGTGAGTGACTTTATGAACGATAGCAGCCAGCCGTCAGCTGGGAACCGTCGCGGTGCGCTCCGCCCCCTTGTTAAATAGAAATGCGTTGCAGCTAGGGTAAACTATCATATTTCGTTCATGCTTCTCAGCTGGTTATAATTTGCATACACAACTACACAATAGATTTCAAAGTTCCAATTAAATTTAAAATCAGCTTTCAGAATCATTTTTCGTTATTAATTAGTTCGCAAGCTCCTTTCCAATCTATTTCAGTTTTTTGTTCCTAGTAGGCTTCAAACTGATTTTTCATTGCGAGTATGAGGAATTTATTTCAAGGCTCAAAAAAGTGTCCCAATTCTCTTTATTTACATCTGTTACCATAGGTGCGATGGGGGGAGCCGGGCTCTCCCCAGGTGAAGGGGGTCTCGGCTGTTCCCGACCTTCCAGGGTGAAGGGGATATGTGAGTCTAAGGGGGGGGGGGGGGAGAAAGAGAGAAAAGACAAAAAAGCGTGGTATAAAGAGCTCTAATTTGTACCCTATTTGGGCACAAACTGGAAAAAAAATTAAAAATTTTAAAAGAAATTAAAATTTGAAAAAATTGACTTTATGAAGATCTGTACTCCTGTTTCATTGCATCAACAAAAAACCAAAGCAATAAGGTTTATCCCAAAAGATGTACAAGTTAGGAACAACTTCAATTCCTGCACATCATCATCAACAATATCACTATCGCTAACGTCAGAGACAACAAGTTCGCTGCCTGAAAAATCTTCTTCTTCCTCCAAAAGGTCATCGGAGTAGAAGTAGAATTGCGTGCAAAAGCGTTCTGAGTCGAAAATGGATTTGAACTTTCTTCTTATTCTAAGCGCTTTTGTGATTTTTTCCTGGCCCTCTGGTAGCACCAGGGTCAGCAGATAGGTGACCAGTTTCTTCATACCATCTTTTAGGATATTTCAAAAAGTCATACGGTAGCAGCCTGTCCGGACCATTTATACCAATCCTTTAAATGAAGTTTTTAGATAACAATATGTTTAGTAGAAGGTTGACAAACCTTAAGTAGTTGCTCAGATGCTCCATCGTTGTATGACTTCTGCGTTGTGTTTTGATAACAGAGTAGATAGAAGATTTCTTTCTCCACCTCTGCCGTGCTAGTCGGAATGGAAACTAGCTTTGCTAGTAAGTCCATCAGATTTTTGCGGTAGGGGGAAAAGAGCCAGATCGCACGTGCTTTCGCAACACGGGAAGGAAATATTGCATACTTTTTTGGGCCTTGTCGAACTCTGGCTTCACCTCCTCTGGCATACGTCCTGTTAGCTGATGAGAAAGCTGCTCAAATTCTTTAACAGCATCTGCGGAATAGCCGAAAAAAGTAGATACTATGCTGCACGTTGGTTTTTTTTTTCAATATCATAGGTCATAATGTCACAAGGCGAATAACTTCCGAAAGCATAAAGCACAGAGCTGGGTTCGCACTCCAGTCGGGATCTAAGAGCAGTAGCTATGCTTTGTACTAACACCTTCCTTTTGTTCATATCCATGTTTGTAAATTTAGCAGACTTGAAATCTTTAGCAACCTGAAAATCAGCAATGGACTTCCTGTTTCCTGACTTCCTGACACATTTCCTCGTTGAGACTAGGCAATCTGCTTGGATTCCTTATGTAGGAAATCAGGGAGTTCCGCTCAATTGTCAACTCTGTATCAATGTCGACAACATTTTCGTCGGCGTAAGATTCTCCTTCTGCCTCACTGTTGAACTGGAACACATGCGAGTCATCTGCGATTTTGTAAAGTATTCTGCCTGCCGTTTCCTCTTCAAACCGCCAACCTTTCCAAAACATTGAGGGTATTTTGATAACATGTTATTCTTCTGAATGTCTTAAAGTTTTTGATTCATTGAACCCAACCACCTTCTCTACAAATTAGGTAAGGTGAGTCTAGAGCGTTTTCATGAAAGTGACCTTCTTCAGCACTAGGTTTACAGAGTATAGATTCCAGAAATGGGCAGGTTTTTGTGTGAAGGTGTGAAAATTTACCAATCTCCCATAGTTTTTTGAGTGTGCGCTAATAATGATGGCATAACTGTCAATCAAAAGCGCATTTTTTACCAAAAAAAACATAAACATATAACAACGATAAGGACGCTGAAATAGACGCGTTCGCTTACGTTCCCGTTAGTGCTGATAACGATGTCAATCCGCAGCACATTTTTTACTATTAACTTGCTCCACCTCGCTCTTATTAGGTCGTCCCGAAAGTTTTTGCGCACGATTTTCAAAAAATCATAACTTCTGATTTTTCCAACCGATTTGACTGCTTTCACTTTTATGTGAAACGGAAGTCATGCTCTTCATAATGATTTCTCAGCTGCTTAGTAATGGTCATCTGTTGCATAGATAGGAGCGATCGAAGAAAAATGGTAAAAATTTTATTTTTCTGTGTGTCATAATAAATCGGAGACTTGCAACAAAAATCGGAGCAGTCAGTACTGTAGGATCTTTCACCAGCTCTTTCTAACAGTGCAAAGTTTGCGCCGATTGAGCGTCTCCATCAAAAGTTATTGTTTCCCTGAAAAATGCCAAAATAAATCAAATTCGCCTTTTTGTATTGCTTGCTCGGAAATCATAACTTTTCATTGAGACGCTCAATCGGAGCAAACTTTGCACTGTTAGAAAGAGCTGGTGAAAGGACCTACAATACCGATGCTCCGATTTTTGTAGCATGTTTCTGATTTTTTATGACCCTACACAAAAATTCAAAATTTGAGTGATTTTGGTTTTGAGCTTCTATCTATGTAACAGATGACCATTACTAAGCAGCTGAGATGTCATTATAAAGAGCATGACTTACCCTTTCAAATAAATATGGAAGCAGTCAAATCGGTCGAAAAAATCAAAAGTTATGAATTTTTGAAAATTGTGCGCAAAAACTTTCGGGACGATCTATACAATGTGTTGGGTTTTATGGGTTACCGGAGAAAATGATTTTTAGAGCCGGGAAGCAAAGAAGCCCTAACATGCTGTATACCATTCGAAAGCTGAGATCATGGAGAATCGACGTAGACCGTCTCTTTTTTCATAGCTTCTTTGTGAAGCGAGATACGATCAGTTTTATACGTCTACTCACCACCTATTTTTGTGTAATTATTTTGTAATTTATTTTTGAAAGAAAGAACAAAGATAAAAAAAAAGAGACGGTCTACGTTTACTGGCAAGGCCTTGCTCTGTGACGCTGTTAGAAAATCAGGCACCTTTATCCATTCTTCACGCAGAAATTTCTCGACAAAAACACACATGTTTTTGGCTAAAATCCCATGTAACTCTAAGTAGAGGGGAGCTAGAGAAAAAGAGACGGTCTACGTCGAATCCTTTTTTTGTGAGCTTTCTAATGGTATATAGGTTGTCGGGTGAAAAAACTTGTGGTTTCTCAAAAATGAGGTGGAGATATTCAATAGTAACTTGCTCCACCCCGCTCCGGCTTTCTATGGGTTGCCGGAGCAAGACTTTTTTGGGCGAAGAAAGCTTCGTGCACAAACACCTTATATACCATTCGATAGCTAAGCACACGAGGAATCGACGTAGACCGTCTCTTTTTTCATAGCTTCTTTGTGAAGCGAGATACGACCAGTTTTAACTAGCTACGATATCAGCCAATTTTGGATAATTATATTTTCAAATCAAGAAGGTCTTTTTCGAACTTTTATATATGAATCGAAAGCTTGAAAAACGTGTAATCTAACTGCTGTTTTGTTTGTTATTATTCTCTTTAGTGAAAGGAGATATGGTACGATTTCTTGCATCCATCGCTAGTCGGTCAGTTTTTCTACTCTTGCTCAACTCTTTTTTGCAATAGTATGTATTCATTGATACAATATTAATTATTCAAAAAATCAGCAATCTTTTACTTTTTGATTACGTTTCGTTATCAACGCTTTTTGAGCCCGCAGAAGGTCTCAAGCATGCGTTTTTTTAACGAAACGTTGTTGATTCGATACTCTCTTGCAGTCTTGATGTCTGAGGAGAAGAGCAGCTGGCGTTTCCTTTCCAATTAAAAAGTTTCGTTGTAGTAACTCTTTGCCTTGATTAGCCTCAACCTCAGGTGAAGGGGGTCAGCCAGATGCCGGCCCTAAAGTGAAGGGGGTCAGAGAAATTTCTCCACCTATCGCATCTATGTCTGTTACTATACTAAATATTCTCTATTGCGCAACCTCAAGTTCAGTTCAAGTGCTCAAAGCCAGCATGATTATCTTTTTTATCTGGAAAGTAAGTTTAAAACCCTAATCATAGCTAAAAACAGATATTATTATGATAAAAATTCAAATTTTTATTTTATAATTTAATTTTTATAATATAATTCTTCGATTTGCTTCAAATGAACAAAATTCTTTGATTTTGCTCCCAAAAACTGCTATTCTCAATACAAATCGATCTGTAACTCGAAATGGGTGGATATATGTCTCCGAATGTGGAAAGTCCCGCGCGGATTTCCTGCAGGAACGCATGTCCGCGCATATACAAGGGTGCGTGTTTGTGTAAATGACCGCGGGGACAGCCCTTTTTCCGCGACATATAATCTTTTACCCAATTGAAATTGCTTGTGAATTTGTCGTAAAATATGAGGTCACTCAGAATGCCTGAGGGTATTATAGAATGATTTCACACTTCAGAGGCGGTATGCATCAATCTCCCGTTTTGAAAGCAGGCGATCATTTTCAATAAAATCATACATTACGGGTCGGGCGCCCAACCCGGCTGGGCGATCATTTTATATTGAAAATTATCGGCCGCTTTCAAAACGGGAGATTGATGCATACCGCCCCAGAGTTGGAAATCCACGAGACACTCGGTCATTTATAATCAAATCAGCAATTCTTTTGGATTTCACTGTCAACACATCATTAGCTCATCATGACTTACCAGTGCGTCACCTCTGCTTCGCAGAGGTTCGCACTGGCTCTACTATCTATGTGCCTTATTCATTCTCGTAAAACCGTGGCAGTGGAACTCACCGCACTATGCCGACTACCACGAATAAAATGTAAACAACCACTCATTTAGAAAATCTTTTCACGTGAGATCGGTGATTTCGAGTGGATGAAACTTTTCGCAGGAAGACAAACGCAAATTTGAATAGGTTTTTGGGTTTGTCATGACTTGGTAGTCGCCATAAAGGTAACGACAACCGTGAGCTACATCTCTGTGCGAAAATCTTCTCAAACGCTTAGCTAGAACCTTGGCAAATTGACCATTTACACAACCAATTCGTTATGGCGCCGTTTTCGTTATGTAGTAAACTTTCGACCACTTTTCTGGCTAAACTCCATCGCTTGCACATTTGCTTACCAAACTCATCCACGACTCTGCAAAAAGTGGTGATACGGACCGACTTTTGCGGTACAGAAGCCAGGTGGACCCGTTTGGCGCGCAAATTCTGAGGGATCCACTCAACGAATCTACTCGTGCTTTTGCATGTTGGACTTTCACGAAGGTAGCATGCGCTATACAAAATTTGGGCTTAGAACGTTGGCTGGAACACGCTCCACGAATTTCGTAACAGACAGACACATACACACACAAAGTCACGTAAACATCCTTAGCCCGTTATTATAAGTCATGATCATGATAATAAGTGGCTTAATCTGAAGTTGTGTGGAGTTTGTCCGTTACGAAATTACAGTGAGGAATGATCTACGATACTAAACATCATGTGAGGTTAAGATAGCGAGTATGGTTCATTTTTAACTACGGCTCACGTTACAATAAACCGAACAATGATTTGAGAGACAAGCTCTCAGAAAGTGAGTTTACCACGGTTCACGATGCCAGTGCGAACCTCTGCGAAGCAGAGGTGAAGCACTGGTTGATTCAATAAATAAAGAAAAGGGAGGTTCTGTTGATAGTCATGCTTTTCTTATCAGGATCTGCTTTTGGTGGACTAAAGAACATAATCGTAAACTAGTGCTAAAGCTGTAGTGCAGAGAACTCGTCCATTTAACAATGGGCGGGGCTAACGGTGCGCGTTCTATTGGCACATGCCTGCCTGAGCGCGCGCTATCGTTCATAAAATCCGCCACCCGCCTCTGCTCGTGGTCGTGACAAAACTAGATTCTTTAAATAATTGGGTCTCTAGAGTCGAGCAAATTCAGAGCAACAATCACGGTTTCCATACAATGCGTGCAGCAGGCGAGAATGGTTTCGTCTGCCCTGCCGCAAGCAAGCCCGTTACATTCGGCAACAGTCTAATGTGTCCAGAAGAGAAGGCTAGGCTGAAAAAGAATGTTTTGTTTCATTTCATGCTTCTTGATTATGCACAAAAGTTTTCTTTGAAAGAACCGTGCACATATTCCAATCTTCAGTGAAAACAGTGCTCGACTTCACTTCTTTATTTATTCACTTCACATACGCAATTGATTTCCCTTTATACATCATCACATACTTGCAGGCGCGGATCGGTTTAGTAAATTCTATGTGGAGCATATGTACAGCCGGACACGCACTTACACACAAACAGACATTCAGCTTTATGGATTAGATCAGTCGAATAGTTCGTGCCGTTTTTCAAAACCATGCTCAAATCACTCCGAAAATAGACAAACGCTATAAACGGCACTCGATGCAGAATTTCTTCCTCTTTTTAGTAGCTCAATTTTTATCGGAGTACTTCGATGACTGCTCGAAAAATTGTCAAAATCCTCAACCCAACTTCCGGTTAGAGTAAGCAAAACGCAATACAATGCAATTTTTTAACATCTCTGATCTGTTTCTAAAAATTTCCAAAATTTTTGTTGCTATCAGATTCCATATTTGGGGATCCCAAATATCATAGAAAAGCAAAGAGCGAGCATCCAAGGCTCACTTGATGCAGTTTTCTATCCTCTATTCGATAAGCGTTTTTTCTTTTCAATTCGTATAGTATGCGGGAAGAAAATTATCATAATTCTTCTTTTTGGATGGTCACAGGCTGTACGCAGAAAGTTTGAAATTCAATATTCCGAACTGTCAAACACTCAGATGCTTTGAAGAATTAGCGTTTAATCATGATTGATTTTTGGAAGTTTCAAATTTTGAAGGATTATTAGTGTTTGAAGCGTTTTTCTATTTTACAATTTCGCAAAAATGAAGAGACTTAAAAATCATTCTGAAAAATGCTGGAAAGTCAGTTTATTGCACTCGCCTACCTCCGGCGATTATCCGAGTATGTGAAAACCATGGGTTGGAGAATCCGACGATTATTCGAGCGATTGAAGGAATCGAAACAAGAACACCACTGCTAGAAAGAGAAAGAAGTTCTGCATCGAACAATTTTAAAGCGTTAGTCGAACTCTACTTGAGTGATTTAAGCATAATGTTCCATGTTCGACTTTCAATGAATCTTGGCTTATCGAATTGTTTGCTTTTATGATTGAGCCAACATCAAATCATAGCATTTATTCGACTAACGTTTCGGCCTAGTCGCCTTCGTCAGAGCCTATAAAGCGAGGAACATTAGGAATTAACCTCCCAAACATTTCATCACATGCAGGAAAAAGTCCAAGAAGCTGTATAGACTCGCGTTAAGGCCTAAAACTACTAGCTCACCTTTTTTTGTCAGAATGAGATAGAACCACCGCTGACTGGGATGCGCTAACAATGAGTGAGGCAAGTCTCTGGAGGCTATGCATAGATCAAAACTTGCATAACACCATTAATGTTAAGCATAGTTATAAAAAAAGGTACCAAATTTCAAATCAACCTAATAAGCATTAGCATGCTTTCCAAGAGTCTTGAGATGTGTTCACTAAATTCGTTTCCTCACCGAGTGCAATATCCAAAGGTAACCAACCATAACCAAGGTTTTAGTCAAACAAACGGAACTACTGCAATTGATACACGAAATTTTCAAAGAGAATTTAATTCCTACCAAGCAATGGCAAGCGACAAATCAAAATAAAGCTTCAATAAAAATTTGATTGGGACAATTGATGGAAAATGCATGCAGACAGTGTGAGAGAAGCTTTATCGTATTGTTTTCTCATTATAGCAAAAATTTTTCTCTTTTCTAATGACGAAGAAAAGCCAAGCAGTGAATTTGTTCGCTAGCGCATGTCAAAAAAGTTGCAAGTGCTAGATTTTCCGTGATGTCCCTTATGTCTTTAGTTCGTGTGTGCTCTAAGGACAAAATCATTACGCTGGGCACAAAAGTTGAAACTTCTAGGTGAACAACTTTTGGGAGGATCGACGTTTGCGACTCATACAAGTTTGTAGTTAAAAATATTCATCTGTACACTTAAGTGAAAAAAAGAATCTTGAAAGTCTTCGAAAGGCTCTAGATTGCACAAAACTTGCCGATAACAGTGCATGCATACTCAAAGAAACTGACGTCAAAGGGAATTGAACACCAATTTTGAGTTTTGCAAAAGCATTACTTAATGAAATAAACGTCAACAAGCATTATGAAGAGTTATCAGATTTCTCCTTCCTCTTTCAAAAGATAGCGGGTTGCTACAAGATTTAGGTAGCTTTGGCGCTTACCCTACCATTCAGTCAGCGGTTTTGAACCCAGGTGTATATGATGTGAGTGACAGAACACTACGATCAATTTCAAGATTTGCGAAAAATAAGATACGATTAAACAAAATGAGAAGCCTTAGTCACTTTTTGAGCCTATACATGTATACTTTGGATTCGGTGGTAGACACTTATGAAAACGTCCGTGCATCGATAATGCCTTGCTTTTCAGAACTTCAGTCATTGCTTTCCGCTTATCGGCTTGATATTAGTCAACAAATGAAAAAATGAAAAAACGAGGAACTCGATTCTGCTGGCCGCAGAGTATTTCCATTATTGATTGGGTTTGCAAAAATCAAAGATGATGTGCGCCTTGATCAGAAAAAGATGTAAAGAGCAGAAAAAGCGTGAAAATTGTACAAAATAAGAAATCTGAGAAGTTGCAAACTCTATAACTTTTAGTGGTCGCGTAATATTTCTCAATGTTGCTCCACCAACCACGCTTTTCTGTGAAAAACCGTGAAACATGAGATAGGACAGCCACCAGAGACAGCTACTTTTTTCCCCGTCCCCCGTGTTTTATCTGTGCAATCATGGCTGAGGAGAAGAAGAGTGTCACCATTGAATTCTACCCCTGCATGTTCCTAAATTTACGATCAAGTTCAGGGACGCTGATGATCTCTATGAGCAATTTATGAAGGAGTTCAAAAAATTCAACCTGGGTCCGTGCGAGCTGTATGCATTCAACTACGACTGGTATCACTTCACAATCAGAAACGCAGATGATCTTTACGAGGTGACCGGATTGACGTACGACACGAAGATTTACGTGCACCAGAATCAAGAAGAAGGTTGTCGTTGTTATGTCGCAATTGTGATGAGGATGCGAATGAGAAAGTAAGCAAGAAAAAGCTGAGTGCCAAAAAACCCAGAACACATCACCACTTTTTTGTGGTCGCTCTCGCTCTCGATCCCAATCCCGTCACAGCTCTTCAACTCAAACTGCTTGTTCATGCATTCGCGATTCTTGGAATTGTGAGTCCTGTATGCACAAGAATAAGTCAAATCACTGCAGCTGCAGTGATTGTGAACTTTGCTGTTGCTAAAAACTGCTCAGGTCGAAACAACTTTTTTATGAACTGTGCATTTCATATAAATGACTGTAACTTCTGAATCAGCTTACCGCACTGATTATAAGCTTTTCATGTCATCCGTTTCATATCTTCAGAAGCATACAGACACGTATTTTATTTGGCAGAAATTTCTTAAACTTTTTTGTTGATGTAAAAACCTTAGTTCACTCACTTAGTGCATGCCACAACACGATGAAGTTTAGTTTTCAATAAATATCTAGCTGTAATTTAGAACTTATTGTTAGGAATCGCCAGTATTGCTACTTTAATGAGAAATGTGCAATTTGCATGAACATAATAAGCAGAGAAATCAATTAAAACAGAAGCAAAAATGTGTGTACAGGGTGTCCAAAAAAATGTGCACACTCTTTGATCGTATAACTCTTTTTTGAATGTCTTTTGCAAAATATTTTAGCTACCATTTTCTAGAGGTGGCTTCAGCTTAGATTTACGGTTTCGAGCAAATCTCCAATTTCTCTTCGTTATTGTAGGATTAGGTAGCAACTTCAGAAAAGGCTCCAAGCCATTAAGGCTCAAAACCCTCTTTGAAGTTTTTACCGTAATCCTACAGTAATGAAGAGAGATGGGTGATTCATCCTATATTGCTATTTCAAGCTGAAGCCAGCTCTACAAAAAGATGCCTGACGCAAGGCAAAAGCCTTGTTGGGAAGAAAGATATTAACGGTCAAACAGTGTATACATACTTTACGACATCCTGTATATTAGGTCGTTCCGAAAGTAATGTCGCTTTTTTCAAAAGTACGCCACATCTCGTAGAACAAAGATGTATAAGAGATTCTGGTAGCACTTGATGCAACATTTCATTCTCTTTCTGATGGTCATATAAGCGTTGCATAATAATCAATAAGCTCTTGAAATTACCAAAAACTGCGACCCATGCTTTTTGAAAAGGTCAATTTTTACAATTTTTGTAACAACCCTCGGAAGGAGTCCAAGTAATGGATGAATAGAGGAAACCCTACAGGAAACAGCACAACTTTTTCTACTTTTTAGAGCTCGTCATAATTTTTGTACAGATTTTTTGATGGAACGAACATTAGCAGGCTCGTCTCAGACGCAAATGCATGAAACACCAATAAATCTTCGGATTTTGAAACTTACAAAGATGGATTATGGTTAGACACTAATTTTACAAACCAAATCGGCATTTACCGCTTCAGATTAGCCACTTTCGAAAGTTCCGGGTACAGCCCAGGGTACCCTGGAAAACTGCATTATGATGATTTTATCCCGGAAAACTTGATGAATCGGAAGCAAAATACAACTGATAGAAAGAGGAGAAAAAGCTGTGTCGAATGATACCCGAGTTGCTTGCCGTTTACTGTTCTGTGAGGTTTGAGTTGACCAAATATGCAATTTGATGGCATTAAAAAATTGACTCTAGAAAGCCTAAGAAGCAAGGTAAGGAAAAGAAAAAATCACACTGTATCCTATGGAGTTTGCTCTATCTACCTGTCACTTGTTCTTGTTTCAAAAATAGGTACACAAATTTCGAAAAATAGCCGAACTTGACCATGGCAAAAAGCATGAGTCGCAGACTTTGGTATTGTTTCGAGAGCTCTTTGGACGTTTTGGAAAGAAATTACAGCCATTAGAAGAGGAGAAATTCTACATCTTATGCTCCTAAGAACTCTAGAAAATCTTGATTCCGTGAAACGTGGCGTTCGTTTGAAAGAAGCGACATTACTTTCGGAACGACCTAATATTAGAATCACTCGCTAAGGAGCTTGCTGTAAATGATTCTCAATGACACTAAACACATCATCTGATAATTAATTTTTGCATCCCTAAAAAACAACGACCTAATATTAGAATCAATCGCTAAGGAGCTTGCTGTAAATGATTCTCAATGACACTAAACACATGATCTGATAATTAATTTTTGCATCACTAAAAAACAACGACCTAATATTAGAATCAATCGCTAAGGAGCTTGCTGTAAATGATTCTCAATGACACTAAACACATGATCTGATAATTAATTTTTGCATCACTGAAAAACACTACTTAGCTCTTCTGGATAAAAAATTGTCATCAAATCAACGATTTACATCAGAAAGCATAATCGGCTAAAAATCTGAAGAACAAACGTTTGTCATAAATGAATATTACATTTAGATGAAGATGAGCAGAACGGAGTTTTGAATCGTGAAGCATTCAGAAAAGCATGTTATTTAATGGCCTTAAAGAAATGAAAACAATGAGTACAAAAGGAAGCTAGTACTCGCTTTTGTAGAGCAAGAAGGCCAAATTTTTTTTTACCATCTTTGGTGTGAGTTTAAAACAAGCATCATGTACGATAATTATAGCGTGGGCTTGCGTTCACATGTTTAGACATAAAACACAGCATGTTATCAAAAAAAGCCAATTCTGAAGAGGAATGAATTCTGGAGCTTATTCATAAAGCCTTGAGCGAAGTAAGTATTTGCACTGGCGATACTTTACTTGGAAAATTTTTCAACATTTTTGACACTGACGATTTTTTGACATCTAACTTTTCGGTAAAAAATAATCTTGAGCACATTAAAATGATAAAATGCACATTAAAATAAAACTTTCATTAAAATGCCATTCGATTTTTAGCATTGCAAAATTTAGTCAATGGCAATGCGACTGGGGTAATTTAACTATAGTGCGATTATCCAAAGACTTCCTCCACGTCGATTTGCAAAATCATCTGAAAGCTCCGAAAGCATCGTTAAAATGTCATTCGACACACTTGGTCACAAGCGACAGACACACTCTAGTCACGAGTCAGTAACTAGAGTGTGTCCGTTGGAAGAGGATTAACACAAGTTTTTCGTTACAGTAACTGTCAAAAGATTTTTCAATCCAAATCTTCAAAGCTGATTACATATAAGTGATTAGAAGAAGTACTCGCATATGACTGATGCAGGGCTATATAAGTGTGAGAAAGGAAGTTGTATTCGTGTTGGTCATAAGCTCTTGATTTCTTGCTTCAAATGTCGTAAGGTTTGCCTTCCACGATTATTCTTATCGAAGCCACGGGGTAAGCCTTCAGCAGAATCCACTACATTCAAAATAACATAACCTTATTTTGCAACCGCTTATATTAGGTTGTCCGGAAATTAAAGCCCGTTTTGAATTTCAACCGCAATAAGTCGTACACTTCTCATTTCTAAATAGGTTGCAAAGTACCATTCGATAGAGCAAAGCAAGCTCTACAAAATGGCCATCTTGCTTTTGCAACAGCTCTCAACCATCTCGAGTTTCGTTCCAAGAACTAAAAAGACTTAGCAGCCCGAAAAATCGAAAAAAATCGTAACTCAGTTCATAAAAATCCTACAAAAATTCTTACTCGCTCACATAAACACTATCTACATAAGACGTCTATATAAGCCTTTGCCGTATTTTTTCCTTCTTTAGAAATCCAGAAAACGGAAATTTTCGTGCATTTGCCAAGGTAATGCTGTGCCGTCCCCACATAGGTAGTTGTATACCACAAGCCTGTAGAAGTACAGACTCAAATTTTCAGCTCTCTACAAGCTTTAGTTCTCGAGAAATACCGAATATAGCTTTCCCTAGTTAGGTGGTCCAAGCAAAAATTCAAATTTCTTGAGAACTAAAGCTTGTAGAGAGCTGAAAATTTGAGTCTGTACTTCTACAGGCTTGTGGTATACAACTACCTATGTGGGGACGGCACAGCATTACTTTGGGAAATGCGCGAAATTCTCCGTTTTCTTCATTTCTAACAGAGGAAAAAATACGGCAAAGGCTCATATAGACGTCTTATGTAGATAGTGTTTGCGGGAGCAAGTTAGAATTTTTTTAGAATTCTTACGAACTGAATTATGATTTTTCTTGATTTTCGGGCAGTTGAATCTTTTTATTGGCTCGGAACTCGAGGTGGATCAGAGCTGTTGCTAAAGCAAGACTGCCATCTTGTAAAGCTTGTTTTGCTCTATCGAATGGTACTTTGCTACCTATCTAGAAATGAGAAATGTATGACTTAATGCGGTTGAAATTCAAAACGGGCATTAATTTCCGGACAACCTAATACAATGCCGAGAAAAAATATTATGTGATAGGTTAAACAGAAATGTTGACCTTTCCTTTTCTACTATCTCAATACAGCCTTTATCTAAAGAGGTGCATTTATACTATAAATTTCAAAGTTCACAATGCAATTCTTTCTTTTCACAGTTCTACCGCTTTGCTTCTTGGCCAGCACAGAGGTCCTCATTTGTGAACTTTACGGTCCTCTAGTAAAATGTAGCTTCGCTTCATGCAGAGTCGAGGTAAATACTTTGAGAGCTTGCAGAGTACAAAAGTTTTTGTACGCAATGCAAGTCTTCTGACACTTGGTTGATCATTTGAGCGACTTCTTCTTCAACTTCTCCTCTCCTCTTTGCTAGATTCCAAAAGAACAAACAAGTCCCAGCTTTTAAGAAAGACGCATTTTGATCAAATAGCCTGCGCAGTTGGTGCGATCAAGGGGAAGATCGTGAAATCAAAGCTCCAAAGGCTAATCGCTTCACAGCGGACTACTTCCTACCTTCGTCCCGGCCCTGGTTCATTAGCAATTCTAAAAAAATCTTTCACTGCTGTGTTTGCGAGTTAGAAAGTACATCAAGTACTCTTGTATAGCGCATAATTATTTCTTTCAGACGAGTTCAAAATTTCAGGAAAGCAAATGCTTTGGAATGTAAGGAGCTATAAATTTTCAAAAATGGTGCTAACATTTTCGGGCCAACCTAATATTTTACCTAAAGCGTTTTTTTACCAGGTATATCTCACTTCAAATGGTCTCTGCAGCTCAGGTTTTTTATCGCACATTGAAGATACGATAGACGTAGGTATCTATCATACATGGGGAACAGATCCAATGATGATTTTACTAAAGGTATCTGCATCTTGGAAATATTTGGCCACTGCAATAGAGGGAGTCATTTAGTTAGAAGGTGTCAAATGCTCATATATATTGAATTAGTTGAAGTTTTTTTTATTCACTTTCGCACTTTCACAGCACATTTCAGTCAATCTTGCTATCGTTTCACTCTCCGTGTACGTTGGGCGGAGCATTTGCAGACATCTGAACACGTTAGTGAACTTGTTTACCCTCTACTGCAAGTTGTTCTGTAATCTCTCTTCACCAACTCTGCCACGATGACAACAGCATATATACGTGGCAGTTTAGAGATTACAAAGAACCAGGCTTTGCAGTAGAGTTTTAATAAGTCAACAACGCGTTCGGATGCCTGCAAACGCTCCGCCCAACGTACACCGGAGAGGCGATGATACTAGGGGCAATATGTATCGATCCCCTGTATAGGAAGGAAATTCGAATTCTGTACAGGTAACAGCCCACGCGGGCACTGGCGCCCGCGATACACGAAGGCAAGCTGGTGATTGGGCTCCTGTCTATTGGCGAATATGGTCCGATCTAGCAAGTTTGGCCATGTCAGGTGCGGCAGTTGAGCAGCGGAGCCAGGCCTGTCGAGATTAAGCTCTGCTGCCCTACGTGGCCAAACTTGCAGATCGTACCAACTTGCAGATCGTACCTGAAGTTTTTGAAACAAAGGGAGATCTCTCGACTGTACGCCACTCATTAATAACAGCTTGAAGCGCGTTGGAGTGATAAATACCGCCCCAGATTAGCGTCAAACGTGTTCAGAACACTTGCAAACGTCCTGGAAGTGTTCTTATGCTCTTTTTACGTGAGCCTAGAAATCCAAAGCTTAATAAGGGTTTTTACTGCTAAATAGGGTAACTATATTTTAAAACTCATAAAACTGGAAAACTATCAAAGAGCGTTTTTTCCAGTTTCTTATGCGGGCCTTCGCTTTCGTATATCCTTTCGTTCCAAAGTTCTAAGCCTTCAAATAAAAGAGACTAAACCCCAAAATTTTGCTTTTCACTCTTTTTGCCCTAAATTCATGAGGAATAGCTGGATTAATTTCAAAAAATATGCAAAAGGAATTATGAAACTTTGTGCTACAAGACGCTTTTTGAACAAAATATTCTATGGATTCTGAGCCGAGAAATCAAATTGCGAACTTAAATGATCGTCGTGGCCCTTCCGTGCCATATAAATCTTTGAATCAAAAGGCGATTGCAGGTTTTTGCACTATCCAGCAAGGGTACATTTGAGTTCATGTGATGGTAGAAAAGCGCTAGGACTTCCTCACTTTCTGTTTCAAAAATGACCGATTTTTGAACCCGCCGAGATGTCAGAAAAAAGTGTACTATCGACTTTTTCGCGATATTTTCTTTCACAAATTTTCCGTAAAATCCAAACTTGGCATTACTGCTCAAGAGACCCTTGCCTACACGATGAGCGAAGTCTGCTTTATCCTACTTCATTTCAACATAAGTTGTGCTCTCTCAAAGTAGAAGCTTCTGAAAAAAGCTGTTGGCAATTTTCAGGCCAGAAAATCTTTCTCGTAATAGATACAGTCACGCAAAAGTATCTGATTTATAGCCACTGATTTGATGGTCATAGTAGTTTTTATTGCACCCAGAAATGTCTTTTCAAAAAGAATTATCTCGGTTGAAAACTGAAGTATAGACAACCTAATATATGCAACCGCAAGAAATCTGCGAACTACTTTTCCGGTGCTCGCTTGCCCATAAATCGCATGGCCGCTTGTCTTCGGCGACTGTCTGAGTAGTTGTTGTCTCTCATGAGACCCTTCAGAACTAAAACTGCAGTAGTTCACATAAGATAGCATAAATAGAAGGCAATACCAAACATAAAGAGTAATTTATCCATAGTCAGCATGTCCAATAATCCCTATGGACTGTTTGAATTCTGAAGTTTACATATACTGGACCATGAGTGAAATGGTCCTTAGCGAAAATGATTAACTTTGTTGTAAAGATGAACTTACTACTTCTTTCGGCACTCGATACAAATCATTACTCCTCCTTTGCCCATCTCAGAAATCCCGCTTCAAAAAAAACCTCCAAAGGCCAATAAAAATCTCGTTTTCCCCATTTTTCGCTACTGGTGGCTGTATTCTCAGTCGCGAGGGAATGGTCAAATTTCAATGTGGCCAATCCCAGCAACCCGTACACCATTAAACACTCCATGCAAGGTTTGTTATATGTCCGCCTTCAATATTTGCTCATCGATCTTTTACAAGAAGTTGTGGCCGCCGTCGGCAGCCTCGCGTTACAAATACCCGTCACCCAGTTAGACGAAGCTAGAATAAAGCTGGACGCAAAGCGCAGTGGTAAGCGTGCAGAGTCATAAGAAAAGAGAACCGGGTTTTGTTTGCAACTTCGATCCTTTTTCTTGCTACTCTTTTTGCAACCCATTGTCATTCTATAATGTTAGCAAGTCTCTTACGCGGTTGAAAAGATAATTCAACATTTAAGGACAAAAAGCTAATTTTCTGTTTTGAGAGTACAAGTACAGGGTGCAGTTTCAGCTTCCTCTTTCTTGCTACTTGCTTCTGTTCGTTCTTCTATTCATCAACATTTTTACTCTTGCTTTCGTCATGATCGTCCTCAATTTTCAAGAGAGTCTGAATAATCCAAAAAAATGAGTTTCCTATGTCTTTAGATCTTGAAACACCTTTTTAACAGCGCTAAGGACTTGCTAACAGCGTAGATATTGAGAATGGGTTGCAAAAGAGTAGCAAGCAAAAGGAATCGAACTTGCAATCAAAACCCGGGGCTCATCCTATGACTCTGCATACTTACCACCGCGCTATCCGTCCGGCTTGACTTCCAGCTTCGTCTAGCTGGGCGACGAGTGTTCATGACGCGCGGCGGCCCACAACGGAATCGAGAGTCATAACTTTGTAAAAGACATAAGATACCAAGGCGGATATGTAGCAAACCTTCCATGGAGTGTTCAACGGTGTACGGCTTGCTGGGATTGGCCACTCCAAATTTTGGCCATTCCCTTTTGACTTATAGTTCTTGAAATTACAACCACTAAACGCGAAAAATGGGGAAAACGAGATTTTTATTGGCCTCTAATTCCACAGTTTAGAGGTTTTTCAAAGCGAGATTTCTGAGATAGGCAAAGGAGGTGTAGTGCATTGTATTCAGTGCCGAAAGAGGTTACTAGTCATTATTGAAACAAAGTTAATCATGTTCGAAAATGACCACTTCACTGGAGTGACTCAGCATTTGGAAACTTCAGAATTCGCACAAGCTGGTCCAAACGTGGGTTGTTTGACATGCTAATTATGGATACATCACTCATTTCATTATGCTTAGTAGGGTCCCTTTGTCATGTTACAGTGTACGTATATGATGGCAAGTCAGTACCTCATGTACTTGTATTTCCATAATGGGGTTACCTGAACAGGTCGCTCACGAGTAACATGCTATCACTATTATCAGTATTACTCAATTACGACTCCCCTTGCCTTTTTGACACCTTATACGTTGTGGCGTGTTATATCCGCGCTTGATCCTGGCCCTGCCTTTTTTGAAGGTGATCTTCGATAAGTATGTGCAGCTCTAAAATAGTCCAGCTAGTTTTGGGACAGCATTAAACATCTCCCTCAACTGCTTATCTATTTAGCATAAAAATCTTCCAAAACGCTTCCAATCTTTAGCTCTCAGTACCCTATAAGTTTGAGACTAGAAAATGTGCTGATTTATTGTTTTAACTTACCATATCACCTTCAGTCCTAAAAATCTTCTTACGAGAGAATGCTGCATATGTGCTAGCCGCAAAGGTAAAAAGATTTTTTCCTATCCTCTCATACACCGCTAATACCTATAAGCCCTTCACCAAATTTATACATGTAAAACTTCGAAGGCCATAGAAACAAAAATCATACTACAAGGAGGATGAGCGTTATACTACAGCGCCTGCCGCGAGATGCATCACACTTTCATGAATAAGTCAAAAAATAACTGAATTTGCGTATGCGATTCTTTCGTCATCGCGATAGAGTGAAAATCTTCGAAAACCGCTCGATCTATTTTTTTAAGGTCTGTCCCTGAAGACGAGCCATTTCCGGGCATTTTCACAATCGGCTGCACGTACATATGCATGTATCTATGCGTGAGATACATAAATGCAAGTGGGCGTGGCAGCCCGCCCACTTTTGGCAAGCCCCGCCCACTTCTCAAAAATGCTGGAAATTGCTCAACAATGAATTCGTGCAAATTCCGGCATTTTTGAAAAGTGGGCGGAGCTTGCCACTGAGGGGTGGAGCCTGCATTAGGGGGCGGGGTCAAAATTAAGATTATTTAAGGTTTCCCTGTCATCTATGAGCTTTTCTATGCGATTTGAGAACGAAGAAAGTTTTTTGTAGAAGGCAATGGAGTGAATGACGGGGTTTGCCAAAAAGGGGGCGGGGCCAGCATATTGTGCACATTAAAACTGATGTTTAGGGTGTCGCGCACCATTGCGCGACATCGTCCACAGGGACAGACTGCCTGTCGCGCACCATTGCGCGACACCGTCGTCAACGTGTTAAAAGAAGCGCAACCTAAGAGCATATAGAAAGAAATATAGTCTCATTAGTAGCTTCTATACGAAACATATGCTCTGTAGATGCGAAGTGAAACATCCCGCAACAACATGTGAATTAGTTAGTGAGTAGAGCTGATGCGGTCACGCCACAAAACTATATTAAAACTTAGACAACCAAAGAAATGATTACCGAAAAAAAAGGTTGAAAACAGGTACCGCATATGCGAAACTGAAAGTTTGCGATACTTCAAATGGCGTAAGGTCGCGTCCCAACCAAAACCGCTTTTTAGCTTTAGTTAACGTTAGGTCGCCAGAATACAGTGTTCCAAAAAATGTGCAAACTGTTCAGTTGCTAATATTTCTCTTGCTAGCGTCTTTCTCCAATCTTTAAGTATCATTCTGTAAAACCAGCTACAACTTATATCGCTGTCCATTACTGTAGGATTGCAGTAGAAAGT